GTATCACAATATAAGTTTCCCTTTATTAAATTCGGTCCTTCAAGTACACTGCAAATGTTTACTTAAAACGCAATTCTTAGATGCTTGTGTGTTTTTAATTACTTAAAACAACTCTGTTAAGGAGACTAAACGGAGAAACATGAGAGTTCCAACTGTTTCCTTTCCGGCATACGATAGCTGGATCATCCGCATATTAATTAGACATGCTAACCACTTACACCACAGGAGCACACACGACAGAAATGCGATAATTCTTTGCACCTTCTCCCACTTAAAAGGCAACGGGAAGAGACTCGAAACCCAGCTAACCAAATCCAGATGTTGACCATATTATTTTGCTTCTCACATTGTGACGAGAATTTTGCCTGACCGCGGCGGCAGTAACCACATGAGCTTCGGGATTTGGGTCCAAGGATTTTACACACGATATACCAAAATTTCTCATGGGTTTAAAGTTAACATTTAACATTGCGCTGTGTAACTGAGTTCTGGTTTGGGGATAAGTTTCGAAATGAAATCCACTGCGCAAATTGGGGAGTTTTTCAGTTTGCTGCATTCAGAAAGTGAGATCCTCTATTTTTAAAATTGCGATGATAGAGTTCTAAAAGATTTTGGGTTAAAGTAAAGCGTGCCAGGCTTAATTCTAGACTGGCGAATAGATAACGTTTTCATGATATTGTGTGTGTGAATAATTTGTACATAACTCTACAAATAAAATTGTTTAAAAAATGTTTTATAAATAGAATTGTTCAAATGTATAACGTTTAAACCTTAATAACAGTTTTTTTATTTTTTCGTATCTTAATAAACATCCTATATCGGAGCCTGTTGCATTCAGGCGAGCAAAGAAAAAAGAATAATATATAGTAATGAAAACATTATGAGTTTTGCTCACAATACACAAAATGTCGAGTCAGCCAGAATTCTATTTGTGCATAACTAAAACGTTTCGTATTAGTTGTGCTGTATTATTGTAGATGTAAAATATTAGTTTAAGTTGAGTTTTAAGTCGTTTAATCGTCTGCGAGGAGGAATTGTGTATTTATGTTTGAAATCATTTTTATTTACTATATATGAATATTAAGACTTATTTTAATTAATTTTTATTGCATTGAGTTATATTTTTGGGATTGCTGAGTAAAGATGTTTTAAGGATTTGTCAGCAATTCTGACAAAATTACAGATTTTAAGTGGGTCTGAATTTAAACGTAAAATGAATTTCGCTATGCTAAAAAAATGTGCAGTGCTATGCAGTGCTTTCACCAGAACAGCTAAGATTTTTAGGGAACACATTTAGTAAAGTTGATCAGGCGGATAAAGCTGTATTAAAGAATAAAACTGCTAAGTTACAAACCGTAAATGCTGAGTGGAAATCTCATGATTCATAAACACTAGATTTATTGATTAAGAGAAAGCAGCTGAAGATGATCTAGAAACCTAAATTATAAGCTGCGAGGAATATTCAGATGAATTTATCACGTTTAGTATTTTAGTATTCAGGTGAAATAAGGAAGCAGATAATGCGGATGACCGCAGTGTTAATGCAAGTTCTAATACATATAGTGGTTTGCTTCTAATGAAAAATAGTGCAAACTGCCAAAAATTCAAATTTAAAGCTTTGGTAGGCGATTATTAAGTTACTTTGCATTTTTGAGTCTATTTAAGATCCATGAAGAAAAAGAAATTGATGACGTTGACAAGTTCCATTATTTAGCTCAATCAATGATATCCGAGACTCGGGCTACTGAGTTGTTAGATAGTTACCCGTTAACGGCGAAAAGTTATTCTAAAGCTATTCTCGTGTGTGAGGAGCATATTGGTAAGGAAATTTTAACTGAGATATATGTTAGGAAATTTTTAAAATTAATTATCCAAAATGTACGCTTACATGTGAAGGATAGGTAGCCCTTAGTGCCACTGTTTGGCAAGGTCGAATCGCTCACCTTTTACCCACGCTTTTCATGCCAGAATGTAAATGAGCTAGCAAGAGTTTATTCAGATTAAGGTAGAATGAAGTGCTATTTAAGGAAGATTTTCGGAAGTTAGTTTTAGCTATTCGAAAGAACGACCAGTAGCTTCAAAGCACCGTTCACTTCTTTTACTGCATGCTTAACATTACGATATCCAAACCTCGCCGAAACTTCACAACAGATGAACGCTACTAACGCAGCGCTTCAAGATTTGTCAGTATATTGCTTATAACTGCTACACTGCCACAAAATTAGATCCAACGCAACATTGGAGATGTAACACGGGTGTGTACAGGTATTCCAAATTTCTGGATTTCTATTTTTTTCATTTAGGATTCCAAAAGGAGAAAATAGAGTGGTAAAAACCTCCGGGTCGTACACCACTTATACGAATATGACCTAAAAACCTAAGTTAGTTTTAGAGCGTGTCTGCCTATTCCAAGGCACGTTGTGCTGTGATTATTAGCAACTTACATTAGCGGCGTTGATATGTCCTCGCCTTTAGACTTGCCTCAACTGTTACTACAGACCAGAGCTCTTCTTGCGCGTTAAAGTATTATGTGAGTCGTTAGGCTAACATATCACACCTTGACATTATTATTTGTTAAGTATTTCTGTTAAGCCAGAAGTGTGGGCTTCCTGTAACCTAATTTGGGTCATCTGTTAATTTGACGCTTAACTAAAAGGGTTTCACACAACCTTCTTCTGATCTCTGTTTAGTTTCACGAAGGCTAGAAGATAATTCTTCAAGAGTAATAGTAAGGAAACATAAACTTTTAAAAGTTTATGTTTCCTAAGGGACGCAGACTTTATATCTTAACCCACGGCACTAATGCTGCCTTACTGTCAATTCCTATTTGCACGCTAAGGTATTTCTAGTATAACAGAGAAGCATTCTAATCAGTAACAAGGAATCATATCTCTCAAATCTCTTTGAAATTTGGCGTAAAGAGGTCGAAGGGAAGCAAAGAGTAAAATTTGTCAGGACTGGATTCGAATTTTCCCCACCTAGTGCAATTAGAATTCTAAAGGTGTAAAATTTAAGTTTAAAAAAAAATCTGTCATGAGTGAAACAAGTTTAGTTGCGACCAAAAAACGTAAAACGTATTTTTTCGTTTCGGAAAAGTACGCGAAAGTAAAGAAAGTTTTACAGCTCTGTAATAAAGGAAAGAATAGACAAATTAAAGAAATTAAAGTGATACCTACACTGTCTTATGTCAGAAGTTCTGCAAGTCAGTGTCAACAGTGTTTTAGTGCCATCTGTGCAAGCGATTGCACCCTGTAATTTTATGTTCCAAGGGACCAGAGAATAACTTTAGGAATAAAATGAAAATCAGTGTCAGTAACGGTACAAAGTACCATGTCCACTCCCATATGTATGACCGAAGTCATGCTTATGAAGTTAATGGTTGAGGTGGCCATAGACAATGTAAAGAAGTGCAGGTGCCTCTTGAAATGTGGATCACAAAGAAAACACACATTCTTTAATATTCCACAGTTGAAACTTTAAATTTGAAAAACATTTACTCTGAAAAATTAACTCATACCCTGCTTGCTGGAACAAGAACTGAGTCAAAATATCACAACGGACATTCTGTGACACTAAGTACGGTTAGGAGAAGCATTGAATAGCAGTTCTGATTTCTGGATCAAAATGCCATTTGAGGAAGGATATGCTACCCATTACTAAAGCTCTGTTACTGAAAAAAGTGAGAAGACACAGAATTTGGATTTCAGATACTGATGAGAATCACCCGAAAATAGAAATCCTCAGAGGAAGTGATTGTTAAAATAAGCATGGCTTTGTTTCCCGCTTGAGAAAAGGAATCGTTATCCATTAGGAAATCAGTTATCTTGTCATTTAAAATTTTCAATCTTTAGCACAGATTTGAAATTTTTGAGTCTAAAAAATAAAAATCACATGTTCAACTGTAAAACGGCAGCCACTTTGAAAGCTCCTGCTTAAAAAATATATTAGAAATTTTCCAGTGAACAAGAATATTTAAATTACACTTCGTCCTTCAATGTAAGTTACCAGTTAAGCTTTTTACTTTGTAAACTTGGAGATTTAGTTTTATTTTTATTTTTATGACTTTCTTAATCTTTTTTTTAGCCGACTCTGTTTTGAATCTTAAAACTGAACTAAATTCTTAATAAACTGTCAGTCTTGAAAAATTGTCAAAGTCAGATTTTGAAGGAAATTCCTTAGGATTATTCTCGTCACTAACTACTATGTAACCGAAGTTTTTAAGTTTAGCAAACGGTTCTAAATTTTGTTTTTAATAGAATTATTTTTAAACTTTGATATAAAGGTAGCTTGCTAAATGGAAACGTCAGTTACTTTTTACTCACCCATAAATAAATTTCATTAAATTAAAAAATAATTACATAGTAATAAGTTGAATTATAATTCTTTCATGATTTTAATTTAATTTCTAGTTTCAAATGTTTTTAGCAAATCTTTACATCTATAACATTTAGCACTGAGAAGGCTTTAAAATATAAGCTATGTTACATTAAAATATTAAAACTTTTAACTGAAGATGTGACTTACATGGTAACATATTTATTTTATTCCTTATTAAAATGCTCAGCAAATTAGTACTAATACATGACATATTATTCTTACCAACATTATTGATCGAAATAACAAGTGTATTTCGTTGAAATTGTGTTTATTTTTCCCACGTCCTTAAAAATGCTTTCTATGGTGTACTTAACATAACGCAGTCATTATAACAATTGTCAATTTAGATACTCATTTCGTTTCATTTTAAAAGATGCATTATCATTATTTTAATTATATTTGCTGTTACTTAATGGGCTTCAGCATTGTTAAAATGCAACGGATTATGATAAAAATATTCTGTCAAGGAAAAGTAAAATAACATAATATAAAGGGTAGTTTGGCACATCAATTTTACTAACAAATAATGTGTGCTCTTAAACACTCAAACTCTTCTGTAGTTTCCTTTGATAAGAAATGAAAAACTCCTGCGTCTCCTGTAGGAGTGAAAAACTCGCAGCAACAGGCACCGCCTTCTTCGCAGCGCCGGCCGCTAACGATTGGTGGACGAAATGTCTGAGAAACTCAAGAGAAAAGCATTCTACAGGACAGAAGCAAGTCACCCATTTTCTTCTCATCGACTTATATCACAGGCACTTGATCCGAATAGGTCAGTAACCCTCTTAATAAAAGCTATTTCTTATCAATTTGTATATAAAAATAATGTTGTACATGACTTTATTTTCTTTACCATAAATTAGAAGTTTATAATATTGAGCTTTATATTTCTAATTTATTCTTAACAGGCGTTATTTCAAAATACCTTTAAAATCAAAAACCATAAATTTGTTTGCGAATCAAAATTTTAAAGAAACTGATTTTGCTTGTTTTCTATATGTACTAAATTAAGAAATGAACTTCCGTAGAAGCTTACTGAGTTTCATTAAATATACCAAATTATAAACTTTTCGAAACCCTATTTTTAGGGTAACAAAATTATAAAATAACTATTCGGTTGCAATGTGTTTTCAAAATCTAAATCAAATCAATAAAAATTCAAAATCTTCTTTATGATAAGCATCCTTTGTTTTTTTCTGTAAACATCCTCAGCACAAGTGTACGGGCTTGCAATATCAATGTGGCTAATAGCGACTGAATAAAATAATGATTTGATACTCCTTTATTTTGAATCCTGCCGCTTAAATTGTTTTAATAAAAAAGAAATTTCGTAATCAAACAGATTGAATAACATGAAATAAGTAATGCTAAGGAATTAAAATAAATAATTCTTAACCACTTAAGTTTAATAAAGTAAAATAAATCATTTCTAGGAATAAAATTAGCAATTAAAGTTTGCTTAGTCCATTTTTATAAGGAAAGTGAAATTTTTTCCACCTTTTATGCTGTATAAGCAATAGTGTATCATGTACAATTATGCAACTAAAAGGAAAGTAATAAAATAGACACTGTAATTGAACATTACGTACATTATTCAACCACAAAAGGCATTGCTCAGCATTGCAAAATAAACAAATTGCAGGCGTAGTTTTAATTATTTCGTAACATCAAATATCTCTCTCACTGAAATAAAGTTCCAGAAATTGATTCAATTATAAAAGCTTAATGCTGTATTTCGAAACATAAATGCTGCTGTAGTTTCTGTTTTAAACTGTAACTACAAAATAATTGTAAAATTTAAATTCTCTTTTAGTATGACTGTATAACTTCCTTACGCTTTAGGCCAGTAATATGAATAAATTAATTTAAAATACTGAGCAATGAGCAATGGCCTGTTGATTTATTATATTTAAATTTGAAATGGAGCTTTACGATTATTCATGTTTACACATTGTCATTCGGATTAAATGCTATATACATTAACTACGTTTAATTATACAGGATTCTACTGAAGGATAGATCTAGTTAAAATCCTTACAAAGACAACAAATAAAAAATAGTTAAAGAATTATTAAAAATTCAAAGCTATGAAAAATATTTCTTACGCTCATTTACAATAAAATTTAAGCTGCAAATTTAAAAGAAGGTTGAGCATAATATTGATAAAGGTAAAACTACAAGAAAATGGCCTTTAACAACTCTCTCTACACCTATCATGAAATAAATCTCACTAGTTAATAACAGTATATAAATATGATTTACATAGCGTAATTACGTTAAATATTATATATTTAATTTTTGAATTCCCTCCTTTAACTGAAAACACTTGCTCCTGTAGGTGCAGCTTTACTGTAAAAATATTCCTATTGCAAGAACATTACTTTTACAGAGATTTTATTAGCTTTGCTGCAGATTTGGGTAACCTGACAATTTGTAACATAAATTTAATATTGTGGTAAAAATTTAATTTCGTGCATACTTTTTACGTTTTGCAGTTTACGCTGGCTTTCTTAACAAGATTATAAAGATCTTCTTAGAAGAATATTCAATGTTGCTATTTAGGAGATTAAGGAATTCAATAAGAAGCTTTTAAAATTAATAACTCTTCACATAATTTTTTCCCGTATTTGCGCAATAGTATCAAGGACTTTTCAAACAGACTTCGATAGTTTTCATTTATTTACTTGTTTATAATTATCAACTCTTTTATTCAGAAGATCGTATACAAATTAGTTAATTTACCATTGTTGTGATCGCTCATTCCTAAAAATATAAGCGCAGCACCCAAAACTATATTATGTTAAGCAATGAATTCTAAGCATGTATTTCACTTTCTTTCTGTGTGCATATATATATACATATACACGTAAAGAGAGAAAGAGAGAGTAGGAGTAAATGTGTTCTTGCATATAAGAATAGCTCAACTTGTATGCTTTTCACTGCAGAAATCGTATTTTTTTATTATGAGTTTTGCTCCTTTGAAATCTTCCTTGCATTTGGTTTTGATCATGATGTGTTTTAACAATATTTTTAATCTCTAGTTTGCTTTATAATAGTATATACTATATAAAAGGACGTTTGCAGTAAAAGCAGAAAATGAAACTATTTAATTTAATTAATTTCTCTGCTTCAAAGCAAATGGGACAAAAATTAAATTGTGAAAACACAGGTAAAAATAAGCAACATAAAAGTAGCGAGATCTCGTTTATATGCATGCTTCATTTGACTATCTAAGTCTGCTTGAGAAGTCCTTGATACTATTGCGCAAGTATGGAATAAATTATGTGAAGAGTTATTAATTTTAAAACCTTCTTATTGAATCCCTAAATCTGCTAAATAGCAACAATGAATATTCTTCTAAGCAGATCTTTAGAATCTTGTTAAGAAACATTTGATTCATAGGTTGCTTAACTGTCTATATGTATATTGTATACATAATATACGTGTGCGTGAATCCGTATGCATTTGTGTAGGTATGGATGTATACCTATAATGAAACGTGTCTAAGATGGTTCCAGACGTTTCGGCATTTTAGAGAATTTGTGCATCGTGATGGTCAGTAACATTATACAGTTATGTTTTCAGAAACTTTGTAAAACTGAATATAATATTTTATATTCATATTATATAAGCGTGTATAAGTTTAAGATTTTTTATATTTAATAATTATGTACTATTTATGCATTTATTAATGTAGTATAAAATATTATCATACTCGAAAATGAGGAAGAGTTTTTATCTCTTTCGCTGCGTTTGTATGATGTATACAATTAACATTTTCTGCCTTCCTTGGTCATGTGATTTTCAACAGTGCCGTAACAAGTTTCAGCTGTGAGCCTTTTGTTACATTTTGAGTCTACTGGTTTGACGTTTAACCATTTCCTTCTAGATTCTGTGAAATCCATCTTCATGAATGAAACTCTTCAAAATACCCAACACAGCCTGAACAGAATTATTCGAGGAAATAAGTTTAATTGAAGCGCAGCCAAAAATGTGTATAATTTAATAGGCCGTGCAAGGAAGTCATGCAGTGTCCATATAATTTTTAATGATTAATCAAGATCTGATAAAAATCATCACCAAATTTTTGGCTCCTGAAAACATCGATTTTGATGGGGGTAGTACTACCGTGGCCTTCGAGAAACCTTTGTTCTCGAAGGCCACGGTACTAAGGGGCACAAGAAATATTTTTGCCCAAGAGTTCTAGTTACGCCACTGCATAGAACCTTAGGTTGGAGGTCCATGCGACGGCGTTTCAGTCACTAACCACTATACCGGCTGAGCGACTCAATAATTAATGCTACTAAAAACGGCGTAGACATATTTAATAAATTTACTATAGATCACTATAAAAATCTCCAAATTGGCTCTTTTGATTTTCTTGATATTTTTAGATTGTTCATTAAAACTTCCAACGCGTTTAATGGCTTTTCATTTTACTAAGCCTGTCCGCTTTAAAAGCACCTAACACCCTGGTCGTTTTAATCCTTCTTAACAGATTTATTCTATACTCTTCATAGCTTAAAAGTTTAATATTCATACATATTCAGAAAAGGTTATTAATCGTAACCTATTGGTGTTCCGTCAGGGAAGCTTATTTTCGAAGTTATATGTACATAAGTATGTATATATTTAGAATCAGAAAATGTTTTTTAAACAAATTATCCCAATATTATTTCTTTGCAATATGCTGCTGAAAATGAATCATATGTAGATAAAATTGTAAGAAATTTAGAACCATAACCACAAAGCCATAAACGAAATGAAATCTAAATCAGTACAATCCCTAAATTTTCCTATAGAAAATGTAAAATAACGCCTCTACTCAGTGTTTTAAAACCAGAAGAAAACTCGAAAACAACAGAAATGCGTAAAAGTACACGCAAAAGGGAAAAAATAAAATTTAAATCTGATTCAATGTTATCAAGAGGAGGTAGATCCGATTCATTTGAATCCCTCCTTCTAGCAAAACCGCTGTGTTTCTGTTCATGCAAAATTAGCTGATGAAACATTTTAAATTATTTAATTATAGCAGTAATCCGAAAAATTCTGAATGCCTCCTCCACATAGTCGCTCTACTTTCATATGAAATACAAATACATGAAAGCAATTATAAATGAAATAAATTTAATATATAATAAAGCAAAAGTAAAATATATACTATTCGAATGAAAACGTAATAAATTACAAAATGTATTGAAAATTACCTGAGAACAAATTTTTTACCAAATTAATAAAAGACTGAACTTACTGTGCGAAGAATAAAGGAATAAAGCAATTCAGAATGGAAAAATGACGTTAATGGTAACCTGTTTGACGTTACTGGCGATATAAATTGGTGAATTAAACGTAAAAAAATCTCCCAAAAGGTGAATTTATGGTAAGGTATTTTTTAATTTTAAATTTGGAGAGCGTTAAAGTAATGCAAGTAAGGAGAGGAAAAAAGAAACAAAAGTTGGAGAAGAATAAAATTTTCACGCCATGGGCTTATAATGACGACTAACAATAGAGTAGACAGTCAGTTAATAAAAGTGCAATCAAGAAAAATTTTGCAGCAATTGCATAATTACAAATTACTCTATAAATCTTTCTAAAATATATTTCTTTATCCTTCTCTGTGCTTTCAGATAAAAATTCATTACCTTGAAATATGTATAAGTTGCAGACCACTCCAGCTTTTTTAAATAGTCTGTTAATGAACTTAATTGGGAGTTCATTTTCTTGTAAAAATTTAGTAAGAAGAAGAATCTGTTGATGTTGTTTCTCAATTTC